GGAAGAGAGATTCTGCCTCCTTTTCAGGAGCACAGAAAACAGAAAGGACAAGCCAGGACTCCAGAGCCTAGTCAAAATGTCTGTAAAACAGTATTCAGGATAATCTGCTAATGAACTGCTGTGTTGGCAGCTAATTTGGTGTCAGGCAGTTCTGCCTTTTGTTTTAACAGCCTAGCTGAAGAGGCTTAACCTTTAACATTCACAGTGAGACTCTGCTGGCCAGCAGCCACCTTTACTGTTGAAAATCTGCAGTCGTTGGCAAAAGGTCTGTGCAGCAGTCCAGTGAGTTCCTGCCAGTGAGAGACTTAAGTACTGCTTCTCTTAATGATTGTTGCTACTGCAAGCAGACATGCTGTACTGTATAGGGCCTGGGTGAGTAAATTGCCTGAAAGCTTTACTAACACCTCATGTATGATAACTGGTAGCACATCTTTGTTTTTCTCATAGGTATGTAGTCTCTGATATAACAGTGAAGATACTGCAGTGGTGTCAGTCTATCTCAGGGCCAAATTATATATATATATATATATATATATATATATATATATATATTTTTTTTTTTTCTGCTCAAGATTGAATGTAATAAATTCATTGTAGAGGAGTGTGCTCATTTGAGTGTGTCAAATATGGTCCTGAACAATTCATATTAAGTGAATCAATACTTGCATCTCTGAGGCAGCAATTTGCTAATAACTTAAATTTTGCATACAAAATATGGATCACCCATTCATTATATTTAATCCACTATTCTAACTACCGTTATCACTGTATGGCTTTGTAACTGCTGATAACTGCACAAAGGGCACATTAAAAAATTAAACTGCTTTGCAATTAAGGTTGGAGCAAGCTGGCTAATTTGTGGTACTCCAGCTGGGATGAATCTGTTTATGTCACTGCTCTTGTGTCATGTCACCCAAACATGCCTTCACTGATACATAAGGTTGTCATCTAACAGCTGACACTTAGCTGCAGTTCTTGCTGCTGGCCACTTCATGTTTTTATCTCATTCATAGTTATAATTACTATGACAAATGCAAGTTGTTTTGCAGTGACAGCATTGTTTTTTTAGTGACAGTGTTTATTATAGCTATAATATGGTCAAGTCTGGGTCAGGTCCATAGCATTGGAAATGAAAGCCATTGGTAACCCTGGAGAGATTAATTTCAGCAAAATAATGTTAAGAATTTGTAATGAAATAAAATAGGAGTGAGGTAAGGCAACAGGCAGAGTTAAAAGCAGCGGTTCAGACAGAATGTTTTTGATGGAACTACTTCTATGAGCAAAAAAAAGAAGAAAGAATATGATTACCAGGGAATTGGATGCAAGCATTTGAAAGCTTGTATAATACATACAACTGTTAAAGCCGAAGCAAATGCTTTTGATTCCACCTCAACACACTCCCTACCCAGATTACATGTTAAAGCTTTCCTAAGATGCAGCCATGCAATTTTTGTGAATAAACAATATGATATTAAAATACAGAGCTTTTTACTAGGAATTAAATATTTTTAAGTCCTGTACCCTTCTAATTTTACATGCTCGACTTCCTTATTAAGAAACAGAAGTAATGAAGGCTGTGAGAGTTGAGAGTTTTCAGTTCCAAACACAGTCTCAAGACTGTCATCAACCTGTTCTACCAAAATAGATGTGCTGAAACTTTAAAAAGGAGGTCTACCTTTCCCCTCAACCCTTTCCAAACAGAGTGGCTAAGGCTCCTTTTCTAACAAGAGCATTTCAGTGAATGTTTACATATATTTAGAAAAGTGAGAACTGAAGTGGACTGTTCAGTTTTGTGTTCTTGAATTATAGGGTAGTATTTCTCAATATTTGCCAGCGTCACATAAGATGGAAAAAGTGCCCATGGAACCAAAGCAAAAACCCTATTACCTGTTCAAAGGGAAACTACACAATCTCCCCAGCTCACTCTTACTAAGAAAGTGTTCTAGTTGAAAGAAAATAGAAGGCTGTTTTTGCCGATGTTATTTTCAGCTAAATTGTGTGCTGTCCCTGATGGTGAAGTTCTGCTGAAAAAAACAATCAAACAAACAAAAAAAAAATTGGTTAGAAAAAAGTCACACCATGAACTTCAGGTAAAGAAGTAGAAAAAAAATGCAATTCCTTTCTTATTTTAAGTGCTATGCCTCTTTTGGAATCAGTGGTTTATTTCAGAATTAATCTGCTAGCACAGAGTAGAAGCAGCAAGTCAGCAGACGTTCTGGGCTTCTGAAGGAACAGAAGAACAAGAAGGCTGAGCTGATGCAAAGAAAAAGCATTAAAGGCAGCTATAGCAATACTGCTTTAGTGAATAACCCTATGGAGTTATTTTCTTCAACTCCCTATCACAAGTGAGGAATATATTAAGACTTCATTTGCAGAAGCTGGAATATCTCAACTCTTTATCATCAGCACACCTACAAAGATGCAATTTTGAGTCTGGAAGGTAATTTGGAATTATGAGGGCAAATGTTCTTGTACAAGTATTATGTTGCAATTTAATGTTATCAGAACAAATCAGCCCTGAGTAAAGTTCAGCAAGGAGAAATATAAGTAAGGAAAGGGAGAAAGACAAGACAATTCTATGTTGCTAAGAACTTCAGCATAAAATATATAAAAATATAACAAACAAATAAATATTTATATTTACATTTACATTTACATTTATAAAAATATACAATAGTACAATAGTATTTTTAAAACCTGCTCCTTTTCATTTCACTACGTGTGAAGAAGGCTGAAAGATTTAGCAGTATTTGCTTTTAGAAAAATTATTAGAAGATAATAATCTTTGGATGTCCTTAAAGAATGCTGACACTTGAAGAACCAAATGAGTTAGAATATAGTGAGTACTAAAGAAATGAAATATGATATAGTTGAAATGAGTAATTAGCTTAATTTTGATTCCTTAAGGGTCTGAATTCTGTTAATGACTTTCTATGATAAGTCATTCATGAAGCTCAGGAGTGAAGGGTGTGAAAGAGAGTACAGGCACAGATACAGAAGCCAACTGTATCCTGAGCTGCATCCCAAGCAGTGTGGCCAGCAGGGTGAGGGAGTGATTCTGCCCCTCTGCTCTGTGCTGCTGAGGCCTCACCTGCTGTACCATGTCCAGATGTGGAGTCCTCAGTACAAGACTCATGTGGAACTGCTAAAAAGTGTCCCGACAGGGGCCACAGAAATGATCCAAGGGATGGAACACCTCTCCTACAAGGACAGGCTGGGAGAGCTGGGCTGTTCAACCTGGAGAAGGCTCTGGGGAGATCTGAGGGTGGCCTTTCAGTATGTAAAGGGTGGCAATTAGAAAGAAGAGGACAGACACCTTAGCAGGTTCTGTTGTGATAGGACAAGAAGAAATTCTTTCAAACTCAAAGAGGGGAGATTTAAACTGGAAATAAGAAAAAAGCACTGGAACATTTTGGCCAGAGAGGTGGTGGCTGTACCGTTCCTGGAGACACCCAAGGTCAAGCTGAATGGCGCTCTGATCAACCTGATTGAGCTGTACATGTCCCTGTTTGTCATAGGGGAGTTGGACTACATGTACTTTAATAGTCCCTTCCAACTCAAACATTTCTATGATTCTATGATTGTATGAGATTTGGTAGTTCAGGCGCTGCTGAAGTTAAAAGTATAAAATAGATAAGTTGTTTCATGAATCTAAATCTTTTAAACAAAGCTTGTTTCTGCTTGTTCCCACCTAAGGATCAGGAGGATGTTAAGCTGATTGCACTGCTGATTGGTCATCATTGTAACTCTAAAGCTTTGCACAAAGCTGGCTGTTTGCTAACTTGCACATTTACTGATTTGAAGGTATGTCCTTTCTTTCTTTATATGATATCCTGTCACCTAAATATAGTTGAGCATTTTGTTCTTCATTGTTCCAGCTGAGCCCTCACTCAGGCCTCATTTCTATCACCACCCTGCAAAAGACTGGAGAAATTTCAGCAGCCCTGAAGAGGCAGCACAATGGCAAATGAAGTTTACACAAGGTAGAGGAAGTACAGACGACTCACATCTTGCACATGATGTGGTAACAATACTGCTTCCAGAAAAATGGTTCTAGGTCACCTTGCCTGAGTGGGGCATAGTACAAGATGGCCTCACAAGGTCCCTCCCAGCTTCAGCTGTTCTGTGAAAAAAACACAGCTATTAATTTAGGCAGTGCAGTGTGTGGCTCTGATCAACAAGGTGTTTGTCTGATATACGTAGAAATCACACAACCTGAGCCAAAATGTGCACAGACCTGATCACCAGAGGTGGGCTAACTGAGGATAGTGCCCACCAAGCCACTCTCACGCTCCATCTTTAACAGGACAGGAGCCTGAAGGTCTGCAATATTAGGCAACATTTAGAGACATGAAGGGCATGGACAAAGAAAAAAAAAAAAAAAAAAAAAAAGAAAAAGAAAAAAAGGAAACTAATGAATTAGAACTTTTAACCTAAGACATGAAATAAATAAGAAGAGATTCAAACATGCAAGCCTGAGGCTTTGGAGGAAGAACAAACAAGAAAATAAATAAACCAGTCCTTTCTGTAAAATGTCTTCCTTGGGCAGCAAGCATTACTTGTGTCTTCATACGTGATTCCCTATGAAAAGCACATCAATGATAAGTGATTAATAAATAGCAGTAACCATTCAGTAAGAAAGGACAGCCGGTGATTGGAAGTGACTAACTAAAATTAAGTGGTGACATTTCAGCATACAGCAGCTTAAACTGCTGCTGGTCATTCGCTAGACTTGACAGAAAGCACTAGCAAAGAAAGTATTACTTAAGGAGGTAAGGATCTGCCGCCTGCCCTAAGAAACTAGGGGACAGCTCTAAATTACTACTTTAAGAAAAGAGTAGTTGCTGTTTGGTTGGCCTTCCTTTACTTTCCTCCTTTCAAAGTTCTGTCTTGTTACACCACATGATTTCTTGTTTCTAAGTAGTCTTCTGAAGGGCATCCTGGCTTGCATCAGAAACAGTGTTGCCAGCAGGAGCAGGGCAGTGATTGTGCCCCTGTACTCAGCTCTGGTGAGGCTGCACTTCCAGTTCGGTGTCCAGTTTTGGGCCTGGCAAGAAAGACTACCGAGACATTGAGGCCCTGGAGTGAGTTCAAAGAAGGGCAACAAAGCTGGTGAGGGGTCTGGAGTACAGGGCTTATGAGGAGCGGCTGAAGGAGCTGGGATTGTTCAGTCAGGAGGAGGCTCAGGGGAGACCTCACAGCTCTCTGTAACTACCTGAAGGGAGGGCTGGGGGTTGGCCTCTTCTCTCGTGTAACTGGTGATAGGACCAGAGGGAATGGCTTCAAGCTGTGCCAGGGGAGATTCAGGCTGGACTTTAGGAAATGCTACTTCTCTGAAAGAGTGGTCAGGCACTGGGATGGGCTGCCCAGGGAGGTGGTGGAGTCAC